CTATATGAAATTACAGAATAATGGTTATGTGTTGAATGATGATTGGGTGGTTAAAACGCTTATGGGGTTCTTATAGGACTGTAATCAAAAATACCTATAGAGGTGTGCAGTGGTGCATTTGATTTGACAATCAATCAGTTGTATTACAGGGGAGGGGGTAATTCCGCTCCGTCACATAGCACGTTTTACAGACTTACAGGGCTTTCTTAACGTATTTTCCTTTAGTAATCATTATCCCTGTGACGTCTATTAGGCCACAGCAAGTAAATTTTATGGACGACATCCTCCGCAGACTCCAAATCTAATGCGAACGGCAAAAAACAAGGCGGGCTAAAAGAACAAGATTCCTAAAATTTGCAAATTTTGACATCATAAACTTTATTAAAGAAGAAACGCTACATATATTGTGGTAGGTTTACTGACAACTATTACTACATCCATTTGTCACTGAAGCTACTGTGAAAAACAAGTTTTCTATAATTGTACAAATTATTTTGATTCAGTGAGAACATCACATGTACATAGCCACTATCACACATAAAAGGAATTAAATACTTAACTGCATCAAAGTAAAAGACAAGAGAATAAATCAGAGTTTTGTCCTGTCTACTCTCTTCATATCATATTTATCAGACATCCACGATTCGGCATGGCAACAGACATCTTTGTCCATTTTCGGCATTATAACCACTTTTAGAGGGCAACAAAATTTCTTGTTTTATTCCAAAAATCAGGCAAAAATTAATGCGTGCGTTGATGTTATCCATAAAACTTACTTGCTGTGGCCTTAAACTGAAGTCTAGTCACACTGTGCGCGCGCGTGTGTGGTAATGCCTCCCCGAAGCTAATGTGCCGCGAAGAAGTCATTCAACGAATTCTATCGGAAACGTAAATACGTTAGGCTAAGGGCATCCTGGAGTAAGCGTATTGGACAAAGAGTAAATCTCGTTTTTTTCTTTGGCGTTAGTGACCTTTCTCTCCTTCCCAATCAGGTTTATTTTTGGTTAGATGGATTTCTCAGACATAGCTGACCTCGATACAGCTCTAACCTTTAAAAGCATCCAATCCGATTTCAGGGCAGCAAAATTGGACATATTCTGAGTAAGGCAATCTTTGTGATATTGACACATACTGATTCACATTAGCACATTTGCGTCAATAGTTTATACTTTGGGCTTTTAAAACTGCAGAGACAAGTCCGAAGATGAGCTCCATATTTTCTGGGTGGAACCCTAAAAATCAGCCAAGGGCCCTTCCATTGACCATTTTTCGTCAGAATTTTGGGAATTTTTGCTCCATGAGGGTCAATATACATTGGGATAATGTGGCTTCAACTCAGTATGTAGATAAGTGACTAGAATATTGGCTTTGAAAAAATCGGGTTTCCAAGCAAAATTCACATGCCACAAATTTGACGGAAAATGGTTACTTGAAGGGCCTTGTGCTGATTTTTAGGGTACCATCCATAAAATAAAGGACTCATCTTGGGGCTTGTTTCTGAATTGTGAATTTTGCTTGGAAACCCGATTTTTTAAAGCGGTTAGACCGGCTATGCATTCTAGCTATTTATCTACATACTGAGTTAAAACCACATTATGTTGGTTGATAACTCTGGTACTTGAAGGCATGACTATTTCTTACTCTCTTCTGAGCTGGTATTAGGTACTTAGTAGTTGAGACGTCCACCAGTTTATTAGTCATTTTGTACAAGGTCCTGTCGCAGGTGCTGCAGGCAATGTACACTCCAACTTAACGCCTTGGATCTCTCTATTCACTGGTCTGTCAAATATCTGGCATTGTGCCCTTACGTCTGTTATTCAAAGTTCTGTACTTGTCTTTAGGGCCTTTTTGTTCACTGGTCTTTCAGACATTTGGCATCGTGCCCTTCTGTATTGGTCATTCCCATTCGCACCTGTCTTTAGGCAGTTAAGACTATTTAACGATGCCAACGCATTGCCCTTTACGAAGATGCATTGTTGATGAAACGCAAAGGAAGTGAACTATTTTTTACGCCCCCAAGCTACGATCTTTGAACGTACTCAGGACGGCAATAGATTCTTAAAATATGTGCACACCTGAATACTGTACCAGGATAATAGCATCCATAGATATCCATCAGCCAATTTAATTTTGTGACTTGATGTGGATCTCTTCGAGAATGACCGCAGTGAGTCGTCGTAACCGGTCTAAAGGTTATCAGAGAGCGGGTATTTCATCACTTTGATGGACTGGCTAGCTGTTTAGCTGAGCCGGCTAGGACTGTCCATCATGTAAGAAATAAAGGGACACTGTTAGCCTTCTGTGCAGGCTCCGGGGAGGGTGGGAATTTTGATACAGTGATTCCATTCCGTGGGCGGAATGGAACCTTCTCTCGCGGCTGGTTGTAGGATGGCCGGCTATTAAAGGAACGCGTCAAAAACTCTTTAAACGCTGTATTAAAATTCCCACCCGCCCCGGAGCCTGCACAGGAGGCTACGACACTGTGTCGTTAGTGAGCCAGTTTATCAGCCTCTAAAGGCCTTCAATGTAACTTCAGGGCAGCAAAACTGGAAATATCCTGAATAAGCCAATCTTGTGATATTGACACATACTGCTTCACATTAGCACATTTGAATCAGCATTTTGTACTTTGGACATTTAAAACTGCAGAAACAAGCCCGAAGATGAGTCCTTTATTTTCTGGGTGGTACCCTGAAATTCAGCCCAGGGCCCTTCCAGTAAACATTTTCCGTCAGAATTTTAGGATTTGTCGCTCCAGGAGTGTCAATATACATTGGGAAAGTGTGGTTTCAACTCAGTATGTAGATAAATGACTAGAATATTGACTTTGAAAGATCCGGTTTCCAAGCAATAAAATTAGCTATAGCTAGAGTACCTCACCATCATGTCCTGTATTATCCATATTGAATTGCAAATAAAAACTAGAAAAGTAACATTTGCGAAGCAAATGCATTATGTTTACCTTCGGATATAGTCTGCTCTGTTAATTCTTCCTCAAACACATTCACGTCTAAATGCCTACTATGAAATCGCAACATTATGCAACCCAACACCAGTTACTATGTTGACAGACGTCAACAAAAGAGGCCATTGGCCAGGTCAGAGGTTAGTGTTTGGAACAGAAGAAGAGGAAGAAGAAATGGAGCAAAAACAATATGTTTTCCTTTGGTAAACATAAAAATCCCTAAAACTGCTCTGGACGCCGTTAACAAACGTGTAGATGTAGAGATTCATGACCACGTATGCCGACTGCCGTGTCTCGAACTACCTAATTTCCTCGGTAATTGGATTGGGGGGTTCTGCCTAAACCTTGTGAGATACATGTATCAACAACGTGTGACGTGTAATGTAATTAGGCCTATAAAACGGATGTTACACGCCAGCCCGCGTCTTCTTAACTTACGACATAAGCAAATGTCAACCAAAATAATGGCCACGGTAACGTCTGTGAAGGTTAGACATCCAGGTAATAAGATACGCCCAAAAACAGTTACTCATGCACCTGGATATGATTTCGGAAACGGTCAAACGTTTTATCTAGTATCCACTAGATTTTATCAGTGACTGAAAGACCAGAGGAGAAATGCAGGTTTATAAGCACAAACTATTGATTGATATATACATTAGTGCATCAACTTGTCTTGCCCTATCTTAGTTTTGTTTCCTTTGGACTTTCAAAGAATTGTCAAGACAAGATGATGCACTTATTTGCATATCAATCAATGACAACAAATGTGACCATGCAGTTACTTGTAAAGAAGTCGATATCATTTATATCATTGAAAGAGAGACTGAAATATGAACAGTACTGAACTCATGACACTTGACTCCCTTTGACCACTGACTGACAACCGATTATGATTTAAGTTTTTTTTCATTTGTTTGATTTGTATACATGGTTTATTACTTCTATGTTCAAGTACTTTATTTATGATCTACTTTTCCTAAGTTTGTATTATTTGGAATTTGACCCTCGACCATCTCAAAAACCCCAGACTCAATATTATTGTATCTTGATTTATGATTTTCGATTTCCTTTGTTCCGCTTAATTATTAATATTTTATGTTATATACTATTATTATATTATATCATTAATATTTTCTGTTATATACTATTATTATATTATATTATTATTATTTTCTTGTATAATGTTTCCATGGGCTTCCTTAGAAATCAGCATCAACGGCTGAAAGGACTACCAATTTGTTTGTTAAGATAAATAAATATATAATAAAATGAATTCATTGCAAAAAAAGACCTTCTACAATACGGTATTTGTTAACGAAAGAGATTTGGCGCCGCCCCCTCTTTCTGTTCTCCTTTAATCTATCGCGTGTAATCGTTTGGCTGCTGCAGCCGAAGTTTAAGACCCCATTGAGTATAAGTTGTGGAACGCATTTGCGCAGTGGACTGTTTGTGTGTGTCAGTGAACATCGCGTCAACACATCTTTAACGCCGTGTGAAGCAAGCTAAACCCGGGGTAGGATTGATTCCAGCATCCCGGGGCTGGATAATAATTCCCCCCGCCGATGCATGCTTGATTTACTGCGTCTGACGTAGTACCGCCAAACGACCATGCTTTGTTATACGGCTACCGCGGGTTTCATTCGATAGATCAGCCCAGACTGCGGTCGCAGCCCCTTGCACGCGTTTTTTTATTGCCCGGGACATTGCAAGCTGGGTGGTACTGCAGATGCCTGAGAAGGTAAGGACGTTACCTTTCCCACAGCTTTATCGTTTTATTCTCCAATATCATATAATGCAATCTAAGGCCAGGTTCAACTGTTACGTCCTGCTATAAAACTGTCGGTATGGCACAGCGAATCAATGCGGCCATCAACGTATCTGCTAAAGGATAAGTCGAAGGTCATTTGTTTGAATACCTGTTGAGCTCTGTCCTATAGCAGCCCGAGTTTTCTTGTTGAATATTAATAGCGTTCGGGCGGCTGAATCGAGCCCTGAGACGACTTTGTAGTACAGTCACTATTCATTCAGCACCATGGAGAGGACCCACCTGCACGCCGCCGCTGCTGCCATGGTAGTTCCCGGGCTCCAGATGGCTTTCTTCATCGCGACAGCTGCTGCTGAGGCAACCCTCGGGTAAGTAGATCTCCCGCCCTCTGTTTGCAAACGCCGACACTCAACAGGATACGTATCTAAGGGGTAGTAATTACATTAGCATACCAAAAGAAAATCGCTGCTGTTGGGCTGAATTCCGCTGTGCTGTAATACTGGCATTGGGCAACCTGTCGACATCGACATCACTCCAAGGTTATAGGAACCTGCATACCTTCAAACATTTCATAGTATTATATATACATCGAATGTGAAGATAATCTTTTAGATATATAATTACATTAGCATACCAAAAGAAAACCACTGCTGTTAGGGTGAATTCCACTGTGCTATAATACAGGCATTGGGCAACCCCTCCAAGGCTATAGGACTCTACATGCCTTCAAACGTCTCATAATATTATATATACATCGAATGTAGAGATAATCTTTCAGACGGATATCATTCTGCATACACCGTTTTTCTTACAGTTATCAATTTGAAATTGGGCAATCATTTGTAATTATACGTCTTGCATGTTAAGTATGCTGGAAGTGAGATTGAGACTGGGGTGTTCGTATATCAAGATTGGAAGAATACCTCAAGCAAATGAAGGGCTCAGAAGACTACTCGCGGCCATGGTGGCTTTAAAGTAACGCGTTTCCTTCAGGTTGCAGGTAAATTGAAATTCGTTTCCGGGAATGGATCTCTTGTAAGACACCGGCTTACAATCCATTTTCTCGGCATTGAATTACAAAAGTCATAAAGTCGTTGCACTACGTACTGTGCATGAATCTAATGGCACGATTTTCTGTATCTCCTATTTGTCTTCCTACAGATTCTATTACACTGTTTCCAAGATGAACTCCTTATTAATAAACAACAGGAGCTAAATATGACTCATTGACACCAGCAAAAGTCAAGCGTCTTTCACTACTGTACCTTATCTTATGGTTCCATAATCTCTATCTCCCATTACTATTGCTACGGATTCTGTTAAACAGTTCCTGGAATGAACTACTCAAACAACAGGAGCTAAATATGACTCCTGATCATTGACACTAGCAAAAATAATACGTCTTTGCACTACTGTGCATGTATCTAATGACACTATTTTCTCTATCTCCTATTAGTCTTCCTACAGATTCTATTAAACTGTTCCTGGAATGAAGTACTCAAACAGCAGGAGCTAAATATGACGCATATTGACACCAGCAAAAATCATACGTCTTAGCACTACAGTGCATGTATCTTATGGTTCAATAATCTCTATCCCCTATTACTCATCCTACAGATTCTATTAAACTGTTCCTGGAATTGACTACTCAAAAAACAGGAGCTAAATATGACTCATTGCAACAATCATACGTTTTGCACTACAGTGCATGTATCTTATGGTTCCGTAATCTCTATCTCCTATTACTCTTGCTACAGATGCCATTAAGCCTTTCCGAAAATGCACCTAAACAACAGGAGCTATGGGTAACAGCATTGTCTTGATTTTGTCTTATATTCTTTTGTGTCGTTTTGATCCATATAAAATATTATTTGCTATCAATTCATGCTTTTTTAGTAAATACCCGCTGACTACAGGTGCTATATGCTACCTGATGTCTGACCATTTTCCAAATCTACACAGTTGCTTAAGTGTTAGATGTATATCTAGCTTATCCAGAAATGGTGAAGAGCTGACGTGAACAAAAATGAGCGTTTCTAACTATACCACAACTGCATTTTCCACACATCTTCTGTGACAGCTATGTTTACATCACTCAGCGTCAGTAACAAAAAGATTTATTCAAAACTCACCACAATTTCCAATCTACAAAATACAACGCTGTTGACCTCCAAATCTCAATCATTGCAGAAACAAGATAAACATGGCACACTTCGTCTGCCACTGGTTCCCAAAAAGAAGTAAATCCAAGAAAAAGATTGTATTTCGTATCAGTTCTTAGAATAGCCACTTGTTCCGTTTGTCACCATTGTGTATTTGCACAGTCTGTATCCTTTTCTCTAATCAAAATCATCTCATCTGTTTCTTCGCTTGGCCCTCGGGTAAAAAAAACTTAGGCAAATAGGGTACTTTATGTTCTTGAGACATATTCATTATTAGCATTATGATTTGAGTTATTGTGTAATAGATGGTCACTGTGTGCATTTTCTTTTGAATTATAAGTAAAAAAATACAATTGAAGGTAGAAGGAACCCAAAAAAAGAACTTGAAAGAAAATAAAAGTATGATTATTAATTCTCCGTATGCCGCTGGACTCACCCCCACAAAAGGTCCTCGGTGTCAGGTTTACCATAAAACTCAAACCCAGACAAAGAAGACCACGTGAAGGTCTTAATAACCTTGTCGACGACTGTAAAGTTTAACGTTATCTTAATCACAACATCAGACTCGAGTCTCACGTACTGAAATATCTCAGAGTCTTAGCAAGAGACAAACGAAGATGGATTGAACTGTACAGAGACTGATTTGGTCTTTCAATTGTAGTTTGCTATTTGTAGTTTGCTAATTTGCAGCCAAGAACAGTTATTGTTATTGACATTATTAATTCTCAATCATCATATTTCAGACCAGTTGCTTCCACGCCGATGGCCCCCCTGTTCTCCCCGCCATCTACTATCCAAACACCAGGCTTTGGAGCACCCTTAGATTACGAACCGTGGGTCAGGCCACAGGAAGGAGGTAAGTCTGGGCCTCAGTGATAAGGCACCAGGGAACGTTCAACCCACGATCGTGCTGATCAAACCAGACTGATAAAGGTAAAATACTGAGACGCATCGAACCAAAGTTCCAGGAAGAGGTCTATGCGCGCGGTCAAATTGCACGCAAAACGCATCCGTTTTATAGATTATGTACCATTTTCTTCAATATTCGTCATGCTGTTTAGTAGGCCTTGGTATTATAGTTTAGTGAGTCTTCGATGAGCGAAGAAAAAAAAAGATTCTCTGTTTTAATACTCATAATTTCTGTGCCACCAAACGCTGAAGTTAATTATTAGCAGCTATTTTCTTAGCCTCCATAGCATGCCAAAAACTGGGGGTTTTGGGAGTCTTCATGGTTTTTGAGAGCTTTTACGTGCTATTTTCTGATTGCATATAGACAACATAGCCGGCCTGGTTGAACTACCCCCGTTAGAACTGGGCTAATCAGAAAACAGCCGAAGACCACGAAACCCCCAGTTCTATAAGCCTGCTACGGAGGATACTATTTACTTATTATACGGCAATAAGGTTGGTAAACATGACTAAATTTGCAATTTAAAGTGGGGGAAATTTTATTATGTCCGTCTTTTATATCCTCGCCTTACGCACTGTACCTGTGCCCTCAAGGCATTCTGTTTTCCTTTTCTTCTGCATGGATATTTGCATTGAAAGCTTTACGCTTCACATTGGTTGATGATTAACTCCTTCAATTATTTTTAAGTAACTGGTTCAGAGCGTACAGAGGCCCATAGTGACTATATACTCTAACGCTGTAAAATCTAACGGCGTTACTTCATTTGTTTCAATACTTACTCTTTTGAAACTTGGAATTGGATATTGGTTTTATTCTACAGTTATGTCTTAAAATGAGTCGAATGTTGACATAGATTGTGGATATTTGCCCAATCGACACGTTTCTTGGCGCCAAGTTGCTTCAAAACTGTTCTTTTATAGTGGATTCGCAGGTGCAATGTGCCGCGTTTTTATGCCACCGTTATGTTTTTAAGAGGTAGTGAATGTCGCACCTTCCTTCAACTGTATTGAAAAAGTCACATTTTCAGCATTAGTACTGTTGGATGTTGTAACTTACATGATTTTACGTACAATATAAAAGAGTCGTTTGTTGTTTGAAGCTAACTTTTCCAACGTATTTATATGTCACAAATGCGGTACCTAGATATTACGTCTGCCTAACATATACCCTAATGACAATTATGAATCATTCTGTTAGACTGTTTCTTTCGGAAAGAAAGTTATTCACATGTTTCGTGCTGTACTCTTCGCTTACTGCATGTGTGACAGAATGACAAATAACTTCATGTCGGATATTACATGTACTTCAATAGAGTAGTTCAGTCATCAGGGTATTTACAAGGTGAAGTTTGTGCTACTAGTAGGTACTTCTGGGGAATTCCGAATACGCGTCACAACAAGAATAAAAGAACACGAAATAGTCATGCCTTCAAGTACCAGAGTTATCAGCCAAGGATTGAGGTACTATCATGAAAGTCCATCTGTATTGGTAGTTACATGTTTAAAGTTAAAACTTTTGGTTCAACACAAAAAGTTCTCTCACCTAGATAGGATTGAGGTGTTCAAAAACTCATTCTTTCCTAGAACCATCGCAGAGTGGAGATCGTTGTCACCAAGTACAGTGGGGGCATTATCACTAGAGAGCTTTAAACAATGTTAAGAGTTGGATCGCACGAAGATCGTGCGACGTATGCGAACAAACCCCAACCAACTGTAATGTAAAAGAGCTGGACATTCTGCCAGTCATATGACTCATACGTTTGAAGCATTTTATGGTCCTGGAACAGTTAAAGTTCTTATGACATCGTAACAAATTTCACGGGCGAAAAAACACTGTTCTTTTGATTAAAGCGGTTCAATATTCTTTATGTTCCGAGTTACTAGTTCACACTTTTATGACAGACTTACCATGCATGTCAATAATGAATCATCACATTTGGAGTCTTTTTATGGTTAAGACTTCAAAGCCTGCCTTTATAGTTCTATTAGTGGACAGGGAATTAAAAGCTTTAGTATGCTGTTAAGTGTTCATCTAAAGTTTTAATATGTGGGATTTAAAGGATCACGGCGGTCGGTTGCTAGGCTAAAAGTCGCATTACTAGGGAGGTATCGGGTTACAGAACGTGTTCGAACGTGGCCGCGCGGGAGTCCCAGGCCGGCCCGGGGGCAACGGGTAAAATTTGAAAATAAACAAAAGTAATTGGAGAGTAAATACTCGTCAAAATAAAATGTAATAAGTGATTTTGTTTACCTCAAATGTTATTCTTGCACTGCCTTTGCTCCACTTTGTGTACATTTGCTTCCAAATGAGATCAATTTCGGATTTCAAAAAGGGTTTACGAGAACCAAACAACTGATTTTAAGAGGCCCCGAAAATTAAAAATAAGGTTAGATTTTTGGATTTTTAGAAATATTACAGTAAATTTAAACTTTCTGTCTTAGGATTTTTTAGTTTTTAACTAAAACTCGACTTACAGTCAAAAGAAGAGCTAAAAACGCAGTGTTTTAACTTTAAATACCGATAATTCATAATCGCGGCCATATTTAAAAAATCCCTAAGACAGAAATCTGCGGAAATCGTTGCTCTTCCAACCAAGCCCTCAATGAGGTAATTTGAGCGATTTTTGGGAATGGTTAAAATACCATGTTTGCACGCGTGCTATGACACTTGGATATGGGGACCTGGATTTTATAACAGCGTATACAAGAATTCTGACCTTCAAGGTCACCCTCGATGACGGCAGTAGCTTCGTTACATGTTACATATCCACAATAAAATCACGGCATAGATGTAATGTTTTGAAAACGGTTCATATTTGTGGAAAGGTGGATTTTTCCTGTTCCGTGGTTCCCAAGTAAAAAAGGGCTTGAAGTAGCCGGTTGTAGCGGCTTTACTGTAAATGACCGCGGGTAACCCCAGATCGAACGCCCGCTCTATTCGAATGACGTCATATCGAACAAGATTCGCGGGTTCGGGGGATTCGATCTCCATAGTAGCGGATTGGGACTTTTGGGCCCAAATCTGACCATCGTGGATGATGTTACTAACCGGTGCAATAGCTCAATTGGTAGAGTGCTCGCTTTGTAACCGGTAGGTCGTGAGTTCAATGCCCCGGCAGGGTCATACCAAAGACTTAAAAAATGGTGCACACTTCTTTCTCTGCTTAGCACTCAGAACATATGAGAAAGAGTGTGGGATGGCCAAACACACAGCACTACCAGCGGACCAGCCCCCTGCTGTAGTGCATTGCACAACTGTGTGTCGCCAAAGAGCTACGGAAATGGAGATGGGCACCACCCTACGCTTGGCATAAGGGCACGGGAGACCTTCGTCTTCTTCTTACCAACCGGCTGTAGGAGAGCAACTTTGAAGAAGTTCTCATTGCATGTAGCTTCGATAAATAATGCACAGTGCATGCGTGGTATGAACTGTGGTATTTTTTCATGTAACTTCCCTTTTCGTTTAATGTTGGCCCTGTTGCAGGAATTTTCTCAATATTTTGTAAAATAATAAAATCCACAATGTGTTGACGATCGAATGCAAGATATTTCAAACGTCCTCAAAATAATTTGGGTTTCATGACCTTACGTTCACCCCATTTCCTGTGATTGACCTTTTGACCTACGTTCGTTCTGCATGTCAATTTCCCTACCCACGTGCAGTCAACCCACTCGGCAAACTCACCCAAAGAAAGTCTCAAATTGTCACAGCCACCCAAAACAGCACTTCCGGACTTCCTTATGTACAGGAACGCCAACATTGACACGATGAAAAGTGTATTGATTGAAGTATGCGATATACAAACTATTAATGACTTGGAAAAGGGGCATCACATTTTGCCGATAAGAACAATCTTAAAGTTCAACGACGCGTGTCACACATGGAGTCTGCCGGTCTAGACGGACACATGAAATGGACGACTCACTTCATCTCAAAGCTGTAAAACTAAAGCGCCTGATGCCAACAGTTGATCTGTGAAATAAGCTCCAATAAATATGTATAATACTCGTCCGCCAAAATTTGAGCACTCTCCTGTAAAACATAAATACGTAGACTTTTAGCAAGTCAAGCATTGATAAACTAAGAATGATGTGCTGAAGTAGGTTTTATCTGTATTGGCCCATGTGCAATTATCGATTGCCAGTCTATATATCACTTCTTTGATCTAAATCTACCCGTGATGTACAATTGATGCTTTCTAAAATATTGTACCTTTAAGCTGACGACTAGTATCTTGGCAGCCTGTACCAGCGAGCCTGCGTCAGCGAAGCCAAGCCAAGATATATGACTTAATTAAACGTACTTTAAAAAAGAAAACAAATGTGTACTGCAGCAAAACGGACATCTCATTATGGTCTACACTAACTGTACTTATTTGTTGAGAATGACCAATAAAATGGCTAATAAACTGGTAGGCGTCCTAACTACTAAGTACCTAATACCGGCCCAGAAGAGAACAAGAAATAGCCATGCCTTCAAGTACCAGAGTTATCAACAAAGGATTGTGGTGTCCAAGAATTGAAGAGTTCAAGAGTGTTCTTTCTTAGAACTATCGCAGAGAGTTGGAACTCACTGTCACCAAGTACAGTAGGGGCATTGTCATTAATATAGCTTTAAACAATGTCTAGAGTTCAAGGGTTAGGTGTAACAAGTCTATCGGTGTGATGTAGCCAGCTGCCGCCGCGCCGCGTGCCTGCGAAGCTGGTGTGTTACGCCGAAGGGCGGTTATACCGGTTATATATACAGTATAGTCATAAATCTACATCAAATTGCGAAAGTAAAAGTTACTCAGCTGGATGTCTAACCTTCATCGACGAACCACAACAAATTGTATATGTTTTTATAGAAGATATCTTTCACTGTGCTAAAAACTACAGAAACACGTTCGGTTTATTGAACTGGGCTTTGAAGCCCTGTTCTATTATTTATGATATCTGTTCGACCAGTCAAAGTATTTATAAAACATTATTCATGGATTGAACCAATCGTTGTTTTGATCACTGACCCATTCTGCTCAGGAAAAGCTATGCATGGATTCATCTTGATCAGAAAGGATGTGCTTCGACCAGCAATAGCTTACATCAAGCGGTGTGACTGAGATATCATTTTAAGAGCTAGGAAGTCAACCCCCACGATAGTTAAAATGACGTCGGTTGTCGTAGTGGTAGAGCGTTCGACTATAACGGCGAGAACCGGGTTCGATCCCGATCTGGTCACTCTTTCAAACTCGAGTTCACGGATATCTTTGACTGCAAAACACGCTGGTGAGAACGAGGTGTTCAAGAGGCAATATATGAAAGAATGTACAACCCCACCCTCAACAGGGAAGGGGGAGGGGTACGGGTAGATCTCTCCGGTACTTGTATTTGTCGCTCCCAGCCCCGAGGACAGACAGTACATAAGCTCCTGTCTGGACAATATGAGCTTTCTGACCAATTTACATCATCTTGTCTTGACTTTTCTAACTTCTGTTTCTTTTTGGACTTCCAAAAAAAATGTCTTCACTTATTTGCATATCAATCAATAGTGTGTGCTTATAAACCTGCATTTCTCCTCAGTCACTTTTTGGGGTATTTTCTTTTTTACTTACGCTAACAGCGTTCTGGCCAATACTTTTTAAAACTCGTGTACCAACTCTAGACCTTTGTGTTCATTGAATAGGCACAAGGGATTAGCAGCAATTCACAAATCAATCCATTGGCCAACCAATCCACAACACACAGCTGGGATGACAGCTGGCAGAAATTTATGAGCCACACACATATATTGATTTATGTATAGTTATGTGTATTTGACGCTAAAACTCTTGAAAGCATTAGGGTGAGGGTTCCATATATTTTGCCTTCTTGCCAACAATGCTACCATTTGTCCACATATAAAATTAATCGGAAGTATGGTTTTGAGTGGCGCTGGGTTAGGGGTTTAGAAGGATTGTGTAATGGTGTAGTCATACAAGCGTATGGAAGTGAGTGGGCGGAGATTGAGTTTCGGGTGATAGACAGGGTTGTGAACCGGTATTTTGTGTGTTCTACATGTATGTTGTGGCTGCCACCACTGTGTACTGTGTAATCATGGCGTAAAATATGAATAATATGGTGTAAAGCGGGGTAAGTTATATTCTTAGAATCTTTTAGGTGATAATGGTAATAATATCCACTCTAGTTCAACAACTCAAGCCCTATCTACTTCCTGAAAGTGTGAAATTTCCGATTTCTTGCTTTCAATGTTCAGCTTGTTTTACTATGCCGCGGTACGTCCATAGAAAATATGCTGGCGCTGCAATACTAATACCCAAAGGAAAACTACATAATAATCGCATGCTTTTCTGCATTCAAACATCTACGTAGATACATATAATTCAGCGAAGTAGAAATAAGTACTCGCGATACAGCTCGATAAGAAGAATACAGGTGTCCAAGGTTAACGCTTCCCAGGTGAATATAATTCATTACCGCCCGTTTCTTCTCCAGGGCCGCCGGTGGACGTCAAATGCAGCGTCTACATAGACACAATGGGCTCGTTTTCCGAGAAAACAATGGTGAGTTGACTATTGTCTTCTTAGGCCATTATCGATTGAACAATCCCAGCCCAGGGCTGTAACGTTAGGCCATGTTGATTTGATTATATGGATGACATCCTCTGGGAACCTCAAAACTGATGCGAGCGTGCGAATAAAAAATAGTTTTCAACTTTATTTTGCAGACAGGACGTTTTGTTTGATTTAGTTGATTCATTTTGATTTGTACACCAGCCTACTATGTACCCTTGTCATTTCTTATTATTATTATTACTTTGTTTTATTGTATCCTTTTATGTGTGAGGAGAGGGCTGAGATAAGTTTTATAACCTTTTGCCTCATCCTCGGAAAATAAATGTGAATAAAATAAAATGATAAAAAATAGCTGTGAAAAAAAAAATTAATTTCATTATGAAATCTACGTGGTCATGAAGGTTGAACAAATGTCACAGAGTATGGTATGGTGAATGATCTATTCGTCGAATACATTTCTTTACATTTTGGTCTTTTTCGTGTGATTTTGCCATTCAATGACATTGGCATCGTTTTCAAATATATATTTTTTAACTTACGGTATATATTTGCTCATTTGGCAACTGTTTTGTACGATGACACTGTGTGGCTCTCCCAAAACACATGACCTCCATTTAACAACTAAGTAGCGTCATCTAGTTTTCTTTAACGTCCAAGGGAGTTTAACAGATCTACGGATGATTATCACCACCGTGGGGTCGTGTGGCGTAGCGGTAGCGGAACCAAGAGGTCCCGGGTTCGAAACCCACCTTGTCACCGATATTGTGCCCTTGGGAAAAGCACTTTACACAAGTTTCCTCACTTCCCTTCACTCAGGTGAAAATGAGTACCTAGCTTTGGTTAGGGACGTTCCTCGGATAGGACGTTAAATGGAGGTCCCGTGTTTGGGGAGAGCCACAACCCACACACGTAAAGAACCCACCACACCTTTCAAAAATAGTAGGGGTTTGCCCCGGTGTGCGATGGTACAAATACTACTGCATGGAGTTGGTAATTTATTTCAAATCCTCCGGATGGAGGTCTGGCGAACCTTTGTCTCGTATCAGCACGTGGTGATTGCATCGTCACCCGGACGAACCCCGTCTTGTATTAAGCTAACGAAAGGGTTTGTCACCTCGTAAGGGGCGGTATAACCCCGACCAATACGGTCAACCGATGATGATCATCGTCACCGGTAGTCACCGGTAGTCCTGCCTCAGGGGACGCTTTACCTCCGTACCATCACGGAGGCAAGGAAGTTAATCAAGGACAGGGCCTCGTATATGGGTCACGATTCATTAGTCAACCCACTAAGAATCAATCACTAGAGTGAACAAGAATGTAGTCCTCATCTTCAAGCTAGCCACGTTATCAATCAAACCTTTGTCCTAATGCCTAATGACCATCAACTAGCAGTAATGAATCAGTGGCCACAAATGAAGTAAGTCCATAGATTGAAATAAACTAATATTGAGGTAAGAGGGCCGATTGCCAATCAGTCGCTCATTATTGATACGTACTTCACTGCCCTACTTGTAACATTAAAAGGTCAACTTTCCTCTGTACACTTTTTGGTCTACTATAGGGCACAAGGAAAGTTTTCAGTACTTTACAGAAGTACTGGCAAGTTTATTTAACATATTTGTTTATATGATAGTGGCGTCAATATAAGTATAACGACTTGAGTTCGTTGCCTCCAAGTCAGGACGTGTCGTCTTATTTGAAGTTTTAAAATGTGTTTTTTTTTATTCCAACAAGACGTGGTGACGGTACATACACTCAAGTTTTTCAAATTACCTTAATGCCGTCACCAACACAGGGTATAATACATTACATATTTTCACCTGAGTGAAGTGGGGAAAGTCCTGTAAAGTTTTTTTTTCCCAAGGGCACAAGATCGGTGGTATGGTAGAGTTCAAACCCGGGACCTCTTGGTTCCGTGACGAAGACTCTATTATTACACCACACAACCCCAACAAGACTGAGCAATGGTGACGGCGGTTGCTGTTAGGGTCATTGTTTGCATGGCACTGCCACGATTTCATCATTTTGAGGAAGCCTTGGTACCTGTTAAGTCTAGACAGCTACAGTGCACTCGTCCCCTGAGTATATAGTGAACAAGCCCCGGGGTCACAGAGAGTATAGCCACTCGGGGCAGACGGGTTTTCCCAAGGGTTTCCAGGAATGTGGGCATAGATGTGGGAGACATAAGTTTGTTCTATTTGCCCTGACCTGTACAGGACTTCTCCCTGACGCTGATTCTGGGCTGTGAGTGGCAAGACCAGCGGCTGGCTAACCTGTCCCTGGAGGCGTGGGTGCCGCCGCCCGGCTTCGACATCTGGACACCCGTCATAGAGGCCGTGGCGAAGTCTGACGACGAGACGCCGCCTGTTCTCAGCGTGTCACACGACGGGAGCGTCCTCCGCATGGCATGGTCGGTGGATGTTGTATATGAACCGTGCTTTATCCAGAAGCGTGCTTTATCCAGAAGCGTGCTTTATTAAGAAACGTGCTTTATCCAGAACCGCGCTTTATCCAGAACCGTGCTTTATTAAGAAACGTGCTTTATCCAGAAGCGTTCGTTATCTAAGAAGCGTGCTTTATGCAGAAGCGTGCTTTATCCAGAACCGTGCTTTATCCAGAACCGTCCTTTCTCCAGAATCGTGCTTTACCCAGAACTGTGCTTTATCTAGAATCGTGCCTTTATCTAGAACCGTCCTTTATCCAGAACCGTGCTTTATCCAGAACCCTCCTTTATTCAGAACCGTGCTTTATCCAGAACCGTCCTTTATCCAGAACCGTCCTTTATCCAGAACCGTGCTTTATCCAGAACCGTCCTTTATCCAGAACCGTGCTTTATCCAGAACCGTGCTTTATCTAGAATCATACTTTATCCAGAACCGTGCTTTGTCCAGAAGTATGCTTTATCCAGAACTTTGCTTTATCCAGAACCATGCCTGTTTTAATCATGACATTTGTTGATCCCCACAAACTAACCATAGACTACAAGATGATGGCTTAACGCAAACACCTACTCATAAACATAACAGGAGTGTGAACGAGTATATAGTCTCCTTCAATCATCAGTATTTCAGTAGAATACATCTGAAGAACATGTGACTGATAAGAATTTATGCTAGAAATTCATAATCGTTGGTAAGTTCAACAAGACATGGTGACATTCACCATGACAAATACTCCTTGCAGAATCAATGTTTTGAATCATTAATCACTTGACCAAGCCCTTGGCGAAGCGAAATGTGAAATGCGCACCTAATTGTAAGAACATAAATCATTTCTCGTTATGGTTCATTATTCATCAATCAATGACATTCCCAATCGAATTCAAGACACCCTTGCTGACGCCTGAACGAACCTGGCAGGCCACAGTCGTCGTTTGTCGTCGCACGATTTTGATGCCGTAAAATGTACAAGTAGACAGTGATAGAACTAACTGCCGACAATGATCTCAGACATTATTTTCTGCCATAGGTAAATTTGAGCAGAACACAGTATCACCTATCACTATCCAATGAAACCAAGCAACCAATGCAATGGCCAAGCGGGTGGAGAGTGGAGAGCTCGCCTTGAAATCGGAAGGTCGTGAGTTTGATCCCCGGCCGAGTCATACCAAAGATTTTAAAAAATGCTTTCTCTGCGTAGCACTAAGCATTTGGGAAAGAGTATGTGACTTGAACACACACACCACTACCGGAGAACTAGCCCCCTGCTTCAGTGATTGCACAAATGTGCAATCACAAATGGGAGGCGATACTGAACCGGAGATGGGCGCCACCTTATGCACCACTTGGTACGGGAAGGACTTAAACTTGAGGCCATGTTGATTTGATTATATGGATGACATCCTCTGGGAACCCCAAAACTGATGCGAGCGTGCGAATAAAAAAAGTTTGGCATAAAAAAAAGTTGCTTTCGAAATGAAATCAACTTGGTCAAGGTTGAACAAATGACACAGAGTATGGTATGACGAATAATCTACTGTTCAAATTCATTTCTTTACATTTTCGTTTGATTTGTCATTGGTATCGTTTTCCGATATTTTTTTTGCAACTTACGGTATATATTTTCTTATTTTGCAGCTGTTTTGTACGATTTACAGTTTGGTTAAAAACTTTTTTTTTGGAAACGGCCCAAAATTCATGCGCGCGGGGATGTCATCTATATAGTCAAATCGACATGGTTTTATGTCGATCGCATGGCATGTGTATCTGTTGTGCCCTGAACCGTGGTTAACCCTGGTCCATTCACGTATAAAACTAGATTTGTACGGTTCTGGATACGATAGGAATATAACCGCGGGCCCTTTCTAACAGACACCCTCAACATTTTCTACCTGCTGCAGCTGATTCGTAATGCATTGTCATGAAGGAAATGCCCTGGGTGGTCGTGATGTGAGCTCCCTTTTACGATGTTAAATGAGCCGGCACTTTATATGTGTAAAATATAGGCGTGCACCCGCCTCTAGGGTCGGCTGAAACCATTAAAGATAATCCTTCCAAAACGTGATCTGGGTCAACGACCTCAAGGGGCGTCATTCCGAAGGCTATTAACCTTCTACATTAGACAACTCCGTGCGCCCCACCGGACTAGAGTGGATTGATACAGAGTAAAAATCATAAAAAGATGATGTCTTACCTTATTAAGGAGGTGTTATGCTCGGGGAGAGGGAGTCAGCCGCACCATCTATAACCATTAGGTGTAAGGTCTACACGGGGGCTAAGTGGGCGATTTGTATCCAGAGTACAACCAAGCAAAACACTGCACGAAAACTAAGTTGGATTTACCATACATTGAATTACCATGGCACTAGAATTAAGATAAACAAATTGTCAATATTTTTTAGAGTGGATCAAAATTTGGAAGTCTTCGATATAAATATCAATCTTGCGATCACTGTAGCAAAATTTGTCATTTATAAATCCTGGATGGAATTTAAGGATGAGGATAGCATTCAACACATCTTATTACTTCGTAACCGAGATGTCCTTTAGACATCTGTAACTATGTTTAGTGCATTGTATGTTATGTATGTGTATATTTTGTATATTTTGTATATATTTTGTCTCTTGGTCATCAATAAAGTTAAAAAAAAGGTAGAAACTCAGGTAATGTTTACTTTGTATATAGCATTTGGATTTACAATGGTAGTAAATAAAAGTCAAGTCTGGTGATTTCATTTACAACCCTTTTTAAGTCCGGAATTACCGTACTTGACTTTTATTTACTACCATTGTAAAGTCCAGTAGTGTTTATTAAAAAAGTAAATATTACCCAACTATACTGGTATTTACTGTCATTGGTAAATATCTAAGTCTTCGTGCAGTGAAAGATGCGAAGACAAAGATCTTTGAACGTTCTCTTGCCAAAAGTTCGTCGACGGATCACTGATTTTAATGCACAAAAACTTGAATGAAAATAGCATTAAATTTGCCATTAAGATAAGATTTGCATGATTTTACATGATGAAATTCAGTGTCACCGACCCATAGAGACAGACACAACACATAATTATGTAAAAAAAACACATATAAGACATATGATACTTGAAAAGTTGTGTGGGCAAAGTGTCACAAAGTTTTTTTAATCATTTACAATCTATGATCTGTTCTACGATGTAATTCACTAATGCAAACTATATCTACCTCCCTTAGTTTGAAATCTCTGACTACTTGTTGAGAAATGTGTCTCTTTTGTTAAATACAGGCACACAATGAAAATCACGTGTCTGATGCAGCTGCAAGCTTATCCGTTGGACAGACAGAAGTGCAGCTTACTGTTTCACATCCGTAAGTTTAATGCATTCATCAAACAATTCTGTATACCTTCGGTAGCTTTGGTAACCAGATAAATTATTTCAACCCTACATACGCTGTGCATACCTATGTATTTTGTTTACCGTATTGTTTGTTTACTTATGCCAACTAAATTATTTTTAATTAATTCATTTTTTCATTGTACTTGTTTATTATCTTTACATTACTTCTTCATTTTTGTTTATATTTTATTTAATATAACCGTACAAATTGTTTGTAAAATCGGATGATATCATATAAGTTTTTGTGGCTTTTGTTCCACCCCTTGCACGTGCATTTCCATTGTAATATTTTTGCATAACTTTTACTATGTATGTGCTAATGAATAAATAGAAGATAAATAAAATAAAATAGAAATACGTCATATATAGGTCATTGTCTTTCAGTTTTTTCTCTTTCATATATATCTGCATGAAACTTGAAATTTCTTCAAGCACTCCTTAAAATATTCTGAATTGTGCAGTTTCTTCACTCGATCAAAATAGTGAAATCTTTACGCATGGTTTGATCCAATATTCTATACATTGGTAATCATGTAAAAGATCATTCCGAACTCCTAGTGGGGACTTTACGATAATAGCCTTCATTAACTATAGGCACCTGAGACCTGGGTTGTATAGTTTGGGGGGGGTATTGAGAACACAGTGCACATCATTGCTTGGGATTATAATATATCCCTTTGAATGCTTGGTGTGATCTGTTCTACTAACAAAGGTACATTATAGAAATGGAGGACGAAATCTGCTAGTCATTTCCAAGACATGATTAGTAATCTATTCCGAAGAAATGTACAGGAAATGCCTCACCTAGCTGGCGTACAATCTCAAGTTAGACATATTATAGGTTACAATATATATAAACAGGGACATTATATACTACTATATAGTGTCCTTGATTAAAAGTATCTCAAGCAGGGCTCGAAAATTCATTTTGGGTAATAGGTGCACTGGTGCACCCAACCTAAAAAATTTGGTGCGCAAAATTTTTTTTTGGGTGCAACAGAGAATGTCAGGAAAAATTAACTATGTTTCATTTCTAAATAAAAGTACTACAACAACGATTTTATTTTTTTTACCCTTAAAGAGATCAAAAATATGCTGTATACTACTATACATTTAACATCTTTTACATATGTAAACCTACGAAAATATTTGTACATATACCCAGTACATAGACCAGTGCAGGTTAGGTGCAGGTAGACATCAGAAATACCTGCACAGCTCCAATTTTACCTGCACTAACCTGCATATACCCAGTACATGGACCAGTGCAGGTTGACATTGGAAATATCGACACAGCTCCAATTTTACCTGCACTAACCTGCATATTAGTACATGCACCAGTGCGGGTTAGGTGTATGGAAATAGGAAATACCTGTATGCTTCCAATTTTACCTGCACTAACATGTATGTGCAGGTTGTATTTCGAGCCCTGAAAGAAAACAATGCATTGCATTGTAAATAAGTGAATGCCTAGTGTCTAATCAAGATGGCTATTTTACGGCCATTATAAGGTTGGTGACCCAAATCATCGCACTGCCTCCAGAGAGACAAAATAAGATTGATTTGATTGAAAGTCGGTGACCCCATATCTCTCCAGTATTTACATCTCAGTGCATTCGTTGAATAAATCATGTGGCTTACGCGATGTTCCGTCTAGGTCGGTGAACTCATCACATTAGGAAACGACTTGAACCGCCCGTCGCGTGGCGTATGTGACTTGAAATGAATGGCTTGAAATGAGTGGCGTATATGACTTGAAATGAATGGCTTGAAATGAGTGGCGTATATGACTTGAAATGAATGGCTTGAAATTAGTGGCGTATATGACTTGAAATGAATGTCTTGAAATGAGTGGCGTATATGACTTAAAATGAATGGCTTGAAATAAGTGGCGTATATGACTTGAAATGAATGGCTTGAAATGAGTGGCGTATATGACTTGCAAGGAAGGAATCGATGCTTGTTTTGCCATGAACATTTTTGGAAAAACTAAAGGGGATGCATATTTCACTCTATTGTCATGTGGCCCGAAACAATGTGTCAAGCCTAAACATACAGACTCCCCTTATACGGTGCCACACAAAACAATACTTCTGTCCCGGAAGTAAAATAGTATAGGCAATTAAAATCAACGGGAAATAGCTATAGGCAATTCCTTACTTTCTGACCCCCCCCCCCGTATCGACCACTAATTTCTGCTGCCTCCCGACCAGATTCTGAGACCTTTTCAGGTATTGGAGGTGGATATGGGAGAATTCAGGAAGTCGATTATTGCACGAGCAACAAAACTGTATGTGTTCGTGGCCATTGAGCCACCATGATGACATCCTACTTCACAAGTGAACAAAGCTTGGTAGTAAGAAATCCCATTTGACACACGCACCACACGATCGTTGCTAAATACGAAATAAAAGTAGGCAGGCTTTCACGGTACCACATACAGCCATTGTTTATTGGAGAATAACCGTCTTTGTGTCTAACGTGTTGGTAAAGTTACAGTGGACCTTCGATCCTTCAGCACGACTTCACCATTTACAATTAGTACAGGCGTTAAATTAGAGACGTCAGAAACTTTCCACTTCATTGTGTGGTACGTCCATGGTCGTTCATCAAGCGAAAACTTCTACACGGAAAATCCATTGCCCTTCGTCCTTGTCAGTGATGAAATACCACGTAACAAAAGAAGGTACTCCTGAAATCAGTTTAACATTTTACGGAAGGCATAGGCGTGTCAGTGCTAAAGAACATGCTTCCTTGATGTCCTGCCATTGCCGGTCATTCATGGTCAGCTTTAATGCAATTTATGGCGCGGTCACATTCGTCGTAAGTCGTGGTATGATTTTTGACTCCGTAGAATCTTAAAGCTGAAATAGACATAAACAAAATCCGACAAGGAGCATTTAGTACTAAGAAGCTAAGACAGCTCAGAGAGCTAAGTCAGATTTTTTTCGTAACAAGGCAGCTGGCTTTTGCAGGACATGTACACGTGCACTGATGCTAATAATGCCCCAGTTTGCGTTTGTACGACGATCTTTTAAAGCACATCGTATGAAATCCGGCCCTAAATCTAGTGTATTAGAGGGAAAGACACCAGCAATAGTTATTATAACAACCTTTACCATTATCTTGAAACAGTGTTGTTCTTTGATGCACATATTTCTTTCCTGATGTCTTTGAAAAGCTGCTATATACAGAGGCATTACACAGGTGTCATGATTAATGACACTCGTTCTGCGGTTAAAACCAATGGACATGGGTACAGCCATCATGTCGGAATTCTATCAAAGCAGATCGTAAAAGCGCTTGGAACGCGTTACGCCACGTTTCTTCTCAGCCAGTCTGCTGATAGGGTGTACTCAAGGTAAAGTAATGGCCTCCAGTGTGCCGTCAAAATATCCCAATGGTTATTGAGTTGCATTAAGAACAGATTTGGCAAATATGACTCAGCAAAATACAGACATTCCCTTGGACCGATTTGCATATTTATCACCTCAATCAGACGTTGTTAGTTTTGTAAATTAAGGAAACCATCTTTTAATCTTTAGTATAATTCCTTTTTTTTTCTAATCATCATTTGGAACGTTTCTAAAAGATAACAAAGATGACAAAAAGTTCACTGCTGTTTGAGTTGCAAAACAAGTCGACTGAAGACGTGACAGTGGACAATTGAGTTGTACAGTTCAGTGAATTCTACTGTATTTACCAGCACTTCCTAATTTCTATTACCAGCACTTCCTGATTTCTATTACCAGTACTGCCTGATGTGGTAAGCATGATACACCAGGTGTCTAACCTCAATCAAACCATCGTCAGGTTTGGTTACTACACTGTAATTTGGGAATTCAATGTGTTACACCCATTGGGGAAGAAGAAAATTGAATCCGTGTTCCATTAGGGCCCATGGTTTAGACGTCACAGTAGGTTGCCTTATGTATCAAAAGAATATGACCATTGCTATAGAATTGCTGTAGCATATAAAGGGTTATTGTCAAGAACAACATCCTACATACACCTACAAAACAGCATAATGATAATGTGGACGTTACCCCTAGGAAGAAAAAAGGTGTAAATTAGTTTATCTGTGATTTTACAGAAATGGATTTTAGTTTCGGGTAAGGAAGTATTTTTTGGTGGCTGAGAAGTGAGTATGTCAATCTGTTTGTCCAAACAGAGTACATTGATAGAACTTGGATGGGAGGAAGATTGACAGGCGGGATAGCGGGTGTCAAAAGGTCATACACAGGAAACGGGGTAACCGTTGCCTACTTATCTGGGATTTTAAATTTCCGTTTTTGTTTTACTTCCGGGACAGAAGTATTGTTTTTGGTGGCACAGATTTAGGGGAGTTTGTATGTTTAGGTTCCACACATTGCATAGGGCCACATGACAGGAGAGTGACGTTGGAGTATATGCGTTGGGATTCAGTGGTGCAATAGTCGATTACATCATACTCCATACGTTCACCACAACCCAAAAACATTTACCGCCGAAGTCAGAAATCAATCAATCAATCAATCAATCAATCAATCAATCAATCTATCAAATGGTTTTATTCATAAAACAAGAACTTCTTGTTGTACATTGACAGTCATTGACATTTACATAAATATTAACAGTAATACGGTTCATAAAGTCATTGATATACAGTTTCTATTGTAAAAATCTCTGATTACATGTTTGTTTCCGATGTAGGCGGAGGCGTGCGGGTTCTGTGGGGCTGGAACACCTACTGGTTCCCGGGGCAGACTCCGGTTGTTACCCGCACATCCGGTCTCCATTCCCAGCTCAAGCTGGAGAGCGTGGAGACCTTCGCATACGTCAACTCACTCGTCTCACCAGGTAGATCTGATTATGCCATGCTGATTTGATTATATGGATGACATCCGCGCGCGCATGAACTTTCGGCCGTTTCAAAAAAAAAAGTTTTGACCGTACTGTAAACCGTACAAAGTAGCTGCAAAATGAGCAAATATATGCCGTAAATTGAAAAAAAATATTTGAAAACAATACTTATGCCACAAAATACCAAAATCCATTCTAAAGGACAAGAATAAAATGTAAAGGAATAAAAAATAAAGAGTCTATCATTCACAATGACAATAAAGAATTGTTCAATCTTCATGACCACCTAGATTTCATAATGAAGGCAATTTTTTGTCAAACTTTTTTTAATTCGCACGTTCAAATCAGTTTTTTGGTTCCCAGAGGATGTCATCCATATAATCAAATCAACATGGCCTTATTCATCCCATGTATTCAGTTCTGAAAAGTATTTGACTGTAAAAAATGTGCTAATCGGTAATATGGGGATAAGTGTATGTTATTTGTGCAGAGAAATTATGAATTTCTTTCTGGTACATTAAGCACCCTTGCTATTCCATTGATTCGCCACATAGAGAAATTGTAAATCTCTCTTTGGTAAAATAATGTGATAGCAGGGGTGCTATCTCATTAAGTCACCATATCGACTGTTTAGAGTGTTACGTCGGTGATGGTAAGAAATCCAGGTAATAAGATACGCCAAAAGCAGTTACTCCGAGTCAAGCAAAATCGTATCCAGTTGCTTGAGTAACTGCTTTTTGGCGTGTTTAGTGTGTATAATGAGATACAATTTTCTACCTGTAGCTATCCTACTGTAAAAATAGTTTGTAAGTGTTTTTAAAGACAATACTTTTCAGTACCAAATAACCGGGATAGATAGCCAAAGCTCACCAGATGCCATTCTAGTAGCACAACCGTCGCTATAGACTTTAAGAAGTTAAAGTTCCGTCCCACAACTATGGTGCGTAAGTTGGCACTCATCTCAAGTTCCTGTAGCTCTAGGGTCACACAATTGCACAGTCACTACAGCAGGAGGCTAGTCCTAAGTGCTAAGCAGAGAACGGAATATGTACCATTTCTAAAGTCTTTGGTATGGTATGGCTCGGCCGGAGGTGAACCCCATGTTCATGTCTGCAGGCCTCATCCTATTTTTGCATAAATTATGATAATGAGCTGGAATTTTTAAACACATAATCATGCCAAAATATACCTCTTACTATGTTGAACCAATATATCTGCAAAGATCACTGAAAGAATGCAAAAAGGAATATAAATTTGAAAGAAACCAAATGTCGTTCGGGCATTAACGTCACAAAAAAATTTCGGATGTTTGAGGGTTAAGTGTACGCAATCCATAAACGCCAAGACCTTTACCACAAGATCACATTAGTCAGTCCGATGAATATGATACGATTCACGTTCGGTCAAACGGACATATTTATTCATTTCTAATTTATTGGCAAATGTTACAGTACATTCAGGCAGCGTGGCTGATTTTTGAAAGTCAGCAATTACTAGTATACAAACCACATATAATGCATAAATAGTCACTGGATATAGAATAATACTAACATAAATCAACTTTTCAATTTTTTCCAGACAATTACGTCAAATCTGGTACACGCTTATCGTATTTTTTTTAATTAAACGGCATTTTTACTCCGGTTTCTTTGCTAACATTGAGCTTTTAACAATATTGTAATGTAGTACGTCGATGAAGGTTAGACATCGAGGTAAAAAGATACGCCAAGAAGCAGTTTCTCAAGCAACTAAATATGGTTTTGGAAACAGTCAGACGTTTCAGCTGGTATCCACTAGCTTTCGTCAGTGACTGAGAGACCAGAGGAGAAATGCAGGTTTATAAGCACAAACTATTGATTGATATGCAAATAAGTGAAGATAATTTTTTGGAAGTCCAAAAAGAAACAAAAGTTAGACAAGTCAGGACAAGATGATGCAAATTAGTCAAAAAGCTCCTAGTCGAAAACCAGTGGATACTAGCTGAAACGTCTGACCGTTCCCAAAATCATATCCAGTTGCTTGAGTAACTGTTTTTTGGCGTATTGTAATGTGGTGTTCATAAAATCTGAACTTTGACATTTACAATAACCGAGTCTGCTTGAGTTAAACCCAAGTTGACAGGAAGATGAGATATTTCCCCAGTAATTGCACGTCTTGTGTAAGCTCCAACTCAACGCCGTACGTTTCGATTTTTCAGAGGCCATCTGCGTGTACGAGGGAGGCGTGTGTGACTACCATATGTCTGAGGACTGCCTCCGGAAGCAGTGCACGAGTGTGGAGAAAATCACCACCCAGGAGTGCAGGAACTGTAACTACTTCGGCGGGATGTGCATGAACAATACCTTAGAGGACTGCGAAAGCCTGGCGTATGGTAATTACATGCCTCTCTACCGGAATGCATGCCCGTCGCCAGGGTTTTGATTGAGGGGGTTCTTTCCACTGTCTGCGGGACCTTCAAGCGCCATAGGGGGCATGCTCCCACTGAACATCTTAAAATGTGAACCTTCTAAAATGACATTTCTTGCATTTTTTGGAGGTTTTCAAAGGAAAAATCAAAGATAAATTTTATTCAATGACAAAGTGAGCAGTTTTTCTAGGATTTCAGCTCAGACCATGATATAAATCAGTCCATCTTTTAAAGAAAAAAATGGGACCTTTAGATTTAAAAAAGTGGACCTTCGGGCCCTTTTGGGGGGTCTTCTTAACCCCCAGAACCCCCTCTTGGCTACGGGAGTGATTCCATCTATATATTGTTAAAACGATAGAGTCACAGGAAGTGGAACGGGGTATAACCGCAGACTGACATGAAGGTCAAATAGGAGGTCAAAATGTTCTCGTCGCAAGCTGGTTGTAAGTGAGGTCAAATTGGAAGTCAAAATGGTTTCCCCTTACGTGCTTGGTGGATTGCATCTCCGTGAAGTTGTTTTAAATTTGTTGTTTAAGTCATTATTATAAATTTCTCACAGATTCAGTGTATATTCCACTGTTACTTCCTCCAAATCTGCGGCGGACCATTTGGACCCCGAATTCGACTTCACTTCCTCCCTGCCTCATTTTGACCTCGAATTTCACCTTTCCGTCAGTCTGTGGTTATACCATCCCCCCTACGCTTCATATGACCCTATATAACTACGGGCGCATACACACACGCAAAACCAAAAGCACCTAAAGAAACAGAACCTCCGAACATGGAGGTAATCAATTGCTTTCATTCTCAGAAAATAATGACTGCGATATACTATGCGATTTATTACTCTCCTATTCCCAGCACTTATCGCTAATACACAATGATAGATCTCTGAATTTGTAATAGACTTAAAACGTATGATTTGTTGTGAAACAAATTCAACCTAATGTTGCGCGCACAGTACGATACGACTTCGTTTTTGCGTTATCTGGAATTCCCGGTGTTCGTTTAAGGTCACTTTGATGACTACCAGCATGAATTACCATATGTGTTACGTTCGATTTTTCAAAACCGAAGATAAGAGAACATTTCCGATTAGGCCACACCAAGTAAATTTTATGGATGACGTCCTTTGGAGATCCTAAATCTAATGCGAGAGGGCGAAAAAAAAACAAGAAGGGCCCTAAAAACAAGATGCCTAGATTAGAAATAAACTAAGAGACGACAAATGTTAGGACACAAATTGAATGAGGTGACACAGTGTAACAAGCAAGAAGTCTTTTATTCATCATCAAAACAGCAATAAATCAGGCGGAACAGCAGTTGTCGTCCTGTGCTTTGGGGAGATAGATGGAGCGGTCAGCAAGCTTCTTCAAATGTGGCAGCATGTACAAAAAAACTGAATTCCTAAAGGAAGTCATGATTTCCTTGCTTGATGCTTCATAAGCTTTGGTCCGTACAAACCTATTCGCGGCACTGTCGTGACTCTTTGGTCATAGTTACAGGAAGCGGAATTTCTTGTTTTTTTTCTAGGAACAGGCCAAAATCAATGCGCGCGAGGACGTCATCCATAAAATTTGCTTGGTGTGGCCTAAGGAGAAGCTGGCGGAATGACCTTTACTTGGCTTGAGGTTAGCATTAGGGTGCGTTATTAGCGTTGTCAACAGAGACAGGAATGCAGCTTACAAGCCGGCTTTAAAGGTATCCAGTGCAGTTTTTAGGGCTTGGAAACCAGATGTTTCAAAGTCAATATTCTGGTCATTTATCTACATACCAAGTTGAAACATCACTGTCCCAATGTGTATTCAAGGAGCAAGAATGCCCGAAATTCGGACGTAAAACGGTTACTGGAAGGACCTGGATTGACTTGTAGGGTTACCGTTACCAACCAGAAAATAAAGGACTCATCTTGCGGCTTGTTTATGCAGTTTCAAATGCCTGAAGTATGAAATACTGATTCAAATGTGCTAATATTGGTGAGTATGTGTCTCTATTATACACATTATTTTATTCAGAATATTTCCACTTTTGCCGCCCTGAAATTGCATTGGATGCCTTTAAAATTCCCCCCACCTCTCTCATGCGTCCCACCTGAATAATTATAGGTAATGGTGAAAGTTCGTTTTGCTTTTTTTCAGTTTTAACATAGACTGATGATCGTATCATCGGAGAGAGGGCATTGCCTTACCAAAGCCATGACCTACGCTTGGCTTTATTTCTCTACCGTGGTGAAAGTAAAGGTCACATAGTCCATCATGTTCACACTTCTGTTATGACTACTCAATGTGTACGGACGTAAACTTTGGGGCGGTTGACATGTCGATTTACGTGTCTGACTGCCTTGGCGGAGTAGGTTGACATCACGTGGGTGGGGCACAAAGATTGACAGGCAGACTAATTGGTCAGGCACAGGAAATGGGGTCAATTTGAGAGTAGGTTGACATCGCGTGGGTGGGCACAAAGATTGACAGGCAGACTAATTGGTCAGGCACAGGAAATGGGGTCAATTTGAGAGAAGGTTGACATCGCGTGGGTGGGGCACAAAGATTGACAGGCAGAATGATATAATAGATCAGAAGGTCAGACACAGGAAGTGGGGTGAACTTGAAACATGAAAATCACAAATATTTCCTGGAAGTCTGAAATCTCCGATCTTATTTTAATTTTATCCAGTCGTGCACGGAGACAGCGTGTTTACGACAGGGGAGCTGCGCTTCACCCTGACCCGCCGACTGTCGTACCACCTCCTGCAGACCTACATCCCGTCCATGAGCATCGTGGCCATGTCGTGGGTGTCCTTCTGGATCAACATGGAGTCGGCGCCGGCCAGGACAGGGCTCGGCGTCACGACTGTCCTCACAATGATAACCCAGGTACTTGTCATTGCAGAAGGAAATCATAAACTAGAAAGGTAACATTTGCAACGTAAAAGCATAATGTTTACCTTCGCAAATGGTCTGCTCTGTTAATTCTTACTCAAACACATCCACATGTATGGTGACAGGAGTCTTAATCCCTCCTACAGTCCTACTATAAAATTGCAACATGATGTGACCAAACACCAGTTACCATGGTGACAGACGATCTGGTTCAGGTCATTGACCAGGTCAATTTTGGAACGGAAGAAGAAACAGAGCAAAAACAATGTTTTTCATATGTAAACATGAAGCCCAACGATGTTAAAAGAGCTTTTCTTTGCATAGGATTTGACTCAAAGCATTTGTAAACGTGCTATTTCTTCAATCCTTTGTAAAAATAGAACATAAAAGAAAATAGAATAAAAAATAGATCAACATTTTGGCAGTGATTTAAGCGCAACCTCAAAACACCAACGTACCCCATCGATCCACATAACTGTGTTACCCTAACGATATCACTCAGACTGAGCGTGCAAAATTGCCCTGAAACAAACTAAGGCATCGCACAAAGATGTAGCGTACTTGTAAATGATATCTAGTTAGCTATTTTGGTTGTAAATTCGCAATCTTTATCAATCTAAAACGTAATTTTCCGTTATAATTGGTACGGCATAAGCTCGAGTTATTTGCAATCTAATCTTTCCGTAACAAGAGTCGATCTGGTATTGTCATTACTGGATCAATACGTCGTAATATACGGTGACAAATTGAAACTAAATGTCCTCAGCTATGTGTTAACGAGATGTTATATCACTGCCTGAAAAGTGGGGTTTACCAATGCTTGGTAACTCTGGTATTGGTTGTTTTCGGCAATAAATAACAGTATCATTTACATCATTTGTCTTATAATATTTAGTTTGTTTTCTGTTCGTTATTAGTTTGTCCTACATGTATTTCTTTCATTATTACGACGATTATGATTGTACCTAAGTTAGTTTTTACCTTTTCTGTTATTACCTTCGCCAAGAAGGTTATGTTTTCAGGGGCGTTCGTGTATGTGTGTGTGTGTGTGTGTGTGTGTGTGTGTGTCTGTCTGTCTGTCAACACGATAACTTGAGAAGGCCTTGATGGATTGTCTTGATACTTGGTAGATGGGTAGGTCTTGATGAGACCTCAAAATGATTAGATTTTGGACCCCCTAGCGGCTTGTTATGGTACTGCAGCTGAACTTCCGGTTTTGATATCTCAAGATCCAGACATGCTGTGGTGATGAAATTTGGATGGTAGGTAGCTCTTGTGCTGGGGAAGAAGTGACGTGAGTTTGGGCCCCCTAGCGGCTTGCTCTGGAACTGCAGGGATATATTCTTGAAAATATTCAAAAGGGGATAACTCAAGAAACGGTTGACGGATCGTCGTGATTTTTGGTTTGTAGGTAGCTTACGTGATGCTTAATATAATTATGTGACAATTATGCAAATATGGATGTAATTTTCATAATTTATGGGGAAATTCAATAAATCAGCTGCATTCCATGATAGGACAATTGAAGCTTGTGACATTGGTAATTGACAACGAGAGAAACACAGGCAGATATTGATTATGTTAATAATGACTTAATTTGCATAATTAATGAGAAAATTTATAATTATGCAATGATAACTGCCTGGAATTTCATACTTGTGGTAGTTGAAAGTCAAGTTGAGGTGAACATCATTAAACATAATTTATTCAAATCAGGACCTCATTTGCATAATTTATTAGGAAATACTAGAATGCATTTTGGTTAAGATTATGATAAAATGATATAATTCATGAAAATTAGGTTCTTATTTGTTAAATCAGGGGGGAATAATCTCATGTATAATTTGTCGATCATCAAGATTAGCATCATTTGGCGAAGGTATGAGATCGGGGAACTCTAGTTGTATTATGTATTGTTCTGTGCAGGGAGCGTTGAAAACCGCCATTGGCGATATGCTACCCCTGGATAAATAAAATGAAAATGAAATGAGTATAAACCGTTGGTAAATCCCACATTTTGTAGAGTGAACCCTGCATATAACACTCCATGCGGTATTTTAACTAATACGTAATTATGAATGAATGAATGAATATACCTTTATTCAACCGGCAGACGTATATATTGCCTTAATTTTGTTAGATTTACAAGCAGTTATTAAAATAAGCAGCAATTAAAATCTGCGTACAAAGTAATACAAACATTATCAATTATTTACATTAAAATACACTTATCATAAAAAGTTTCATCTTCATATATAATTATGTCCAAGGATAGTCTAAAAAGGTGTCTTACAATCTCCAAGCAGATCCTCTGGTAGCAATGCAGATCTTTCGGTGACTATTAGACTCTCCTATGGACAACTGATACTGCCTTGCCATCGTAGGATCTGCTTGGAGGGTATGTACATGTACGTCTCTCCTGTAGTTTTTGCCAAAGTTTTCCTATGACGATCCATCAATGTGGCTGTGTATGCAGGGAAGTAGCCAACATTATGATATAGTTCAGCTGCTGTACCTTTGATCGTCCATCAGCTGACCTCTATCACTACAAAATTCACCATCATTAACACGGCGATACGCCCCTTATTCTTCATCTAAACCTTGTTACCTTTCACCCCAAGAAAAATATGTCTTAAATCTTTCTTGAGTATATTTCATGGAAACTTTGTTTCACCCGACTGGGCCTCTTTATATAATTCACTTTATAAATCGAAGACATAAGTGAGGCAAATAGAAAAGACAGATTGGGGGTAATTTAGTGCCAGAGTATAAACGCGAGCGTGGTTTTCATCATCATTTGCATTCTCTATAAGCAGCCACGTGGTGAGGTGGTCTTTCAACTTAAGCAATCAGGTGATAAAAAATAAGGTTGTTAACTTAAACTAGAATCTAAAGGTACTGGCCTCAAATGCCTTGATTTGAATTTTGATTGTAACAATTCGATACACGTATGACAAAGGCAGCTGTTGCTGGTGTTGTGTCCCATACATAGAAACAAATACAGGACAGACAACACTCATTTTCACTTGAGTGAAGTTAGGAAAGTCGTGAAAAGTGCCTTTCCCAAGGGTACAAGTCAGGACGACAGGACTCGAACCAGGAACCTGTTGGTTCCCAGTCGAGCACTCTGTCGTTACGCCACACGACGGTCGTGCACACCCCAGCGATGGGAAAATTACTGTACACCTATTTCCTGACACGAAAAATGAGTACCTACATTCGGTTAGGACCGTCCTCTTCGACGAGACGTTAAAGAACCCACCACGCGTATCTAGAAGAGAACGGGTCCATCTTGCAGATTGGTCGACATCTCCGTTCGGACATTCTAAAAAAGGCCCTTCCACTGTTCCACGTATGTGGTAAAAGTCGAGAGATAAATAAAGATAGACAAACTAGAGAGGTAACATTCGCAAAGGAAATGCATCATGTTTACCTTCAATTCGCATATGCTCTGTTAATTCTTACTCAACACATTCAAATATACATGGTCAGACAGGAGTCTAAATCCCTCCTGCAGTGACACCATGGCGACAGGTCATTGACCTTATTGGTCTGGAGAAGAAGAAGAGGAAACAGAGCAAAAACATTATGTTTTTCTTCGTTAAACATAATAAAAACAAACAGTATTTAATAAATAAAATTCCAGCATTGGTTGGAAAAGGGACACGAACTCCCGTTACCAAACACTACTTTCTACATTGTAAACTTTATTCCAGTCAAAGAAGTTATCATCTCTCTCCAAAATAGTAGTGCTACAGCATCTCAATGACAGTTTCCTATGTTCCTTACTACTTCGAGGGTCCACATCACTTTCACACCAACAAAACTTTAATGTTTTCGATGTACTGTACTTCATTTACTGTACGGATAGATTCTCGTAATTGATAGATCACCAACTTGTCTTGTTTGTATTTATCTTGGTTTTAACCACCTTGTAATTATGCATTTATTTTGTCAATGTGTTTTACAATCGTTGTATGTTTTTGAGCAGAAGGTGTATAAGCAACTTTTTTGCCCAATACTCAATAAATATATGAGAAAAAATTCCTGTCACCAGATTCTGTCGAATATAAAACAGCGATCCTTTCATCCAGAGAAGTTGGTGCATCTCCAATACACAGATCAACATCTCAAGGTCCTAAAAAATGAGGCAATAAATCACTGTGCCCCAGATCGAAATTGGAATTAGAAGCTTCTTTGTTTGCGTCCCACGGGACCGTGCACACGACAGACTCCTAATCCTTCATGCTATGATAAGTCCTGCAGAGACCGTCTCCCTGGTGAAATCAGAGTCGGTCCTTATGTTTCGAATTCAGGCTAGACCTAGTTTCGGAAGTATAGTTTTGGGTGGGTCTGTGGGTTTGTTTGTGTGTGCTTGTCCAGCTGAGACGGTTGACAGGCCATCCCCTTGTTTTGCTTAGGTCACAATTCCCACACGGGGCCCGGCTGGGCAGCTTTTGAGAAGGAAAAGTAAGATATAAACTAGAAAGGCCAATATTTGCTTTGGAGCAAATATAGCGATGGGTTCACCACATTTTACGACATGGCAGGGAAAGAATGAGAAACACAAGGGAAAACAATGATTTACATTGATATAACTATAATATGAAGTAACATACAACTAAAACAACAGTTGGATAGCTATTCCCTACTTTATTGGTTAGGATTTTTAATTGCATAATGCAAACTGTTGATTTAAAAAAAAAAAAAAACGTTCATGCCCCGCATTCCAATGCTGGAGCAGAAAAGCTTGAAATACCTACCAAAACACTTGAATAAAGACATACTGTCAGTATGGAAATGCTCTGTGCAGGTGTTAATCAAGTTAAATCCCAACAGCCAATCAGCAAGAAATGCTCTGTGCAGGTGGAAATGCTCTGTGCAGGTGTTAATCAAGTTAAATCCCAACAGCCAATCAGCAAGAAGTATAGAGGAAAGCTGCATGCCTATTGGTTGATGCCCTGCATTCCATTGTGATGACTCATGCCCAGACGTGGTAAACTCGGCACACTAACACAGTAATACATTTGCTATAACACAGCCAAAAAACTCAAATAAAACCATTCTAAAAGCCTGTATCACAATAATTTAAAAAGCGCCTAGGGGTATTTGCCCACTGTACCTCCATACCAAATTTCAGGACCTTATATTAGGCCCTAAAATGAAGAAGCTGAATCCATTTAAAAAATGGCAGGAGGAGAAGGAGGAGAAGGAGGAGAAGAAGAAGAAACATCAGAAAAAGCAATATGGGTTCACCACCACTTCGTGGTGTGGTGAACCCATAAATACAACAAAACACAGAAAAGTTTTTGATGATAATGATTGGCACTGTTTCTGTACATTCTTGACATAAATTGTTAATTTTCAGTACATACAATCAGCCCGGCCGGGCCAAATGTGACTTCAGCATTACTGGTGCAATCAGAGTTGGTCATTATGTTTCATGATAGGTCTAGCTTCGGAAGTATTGTTTTGGGTGGGTATGTCTGTTTGTGTGAGTGTATGCTTGTCCAGCTGAGACGACTAACAGACAATCCCCCGCGCCCGGTGTTCGTGAAATCAGAGTCGGTCCTTATGCTTCAGGATAGACCTAGTTTTTTTTAAGTATTGTTTTGGGTGGGTCTTGTGGGTTTGTGTGTATGCTTGTGCATCTGAGAAGGTTGACAGTACGGGTGGGTGGATGTTTGGATACTTTATTGACAGGGAGTTATACATTCTGAAGTTGACTCAGTACGCGTCAGATAGGAGTAAGTTGACAGCACGAGGAGAAATCCGGGAATTCATTGACTGTGTGTAATACCCGATTAAATAAAATCATACAATCCCCACCACAATTACAATACATTGACGAATACCCGAAACACTCCCCAGAGATCTGAAATATCTGATTTCTCTTTACTCTTTAACTTCCCACTTTTAGAGTGTCTCTTCGATTCTCTACAAAGATGGGAACTGCCACTCTAGTTGTTGTCCACAGCTAAGCTAGCACCCACGCAAGCACACTCGGCTATCGCTGTCTTCCACCTAACATCTCCTCATAAGCCTTTACAACTAAATCATCGACAATCCTCCCCTAGCAAAGATACTATGCAGTATTAATGATAAATAACTTTTTTTATTATTTCAAACTGTTCATTCCATAACAACGCTCGAAATGAATTGACTCTTCAAACTTCTACAATTTATCCCAATTTTTCTAAACTTACAGACGAACAAAAAACTATTCTTCGTCCCAAAACCCACAAATTCTGGAAAAGGTGGGACATTGCGTCTTCCATGGTTTAAAAAAGAGAAGTCAAACCCTTCAGACATAGTTTTAGACATAGCAATAGTTTTAGACAATTAGATTTCATTATGTACATTTTGAAGTTATTTTATACACTGTTTCAGAGTTCTTTTATGTTTGTAACTTGCAATTACCATTCAGACATGGATTTGCAATAAAGTTATATTACAAAATATATGAAAAGGCATTGTATATGCAAGTAAATTGCAAACTAGCTAGGTACTCTAACCAAAAACTTACAAACTGGTAGGATGGGAAAAGAATCACTCAAATAACGTTTTATGTTTTGCAGAGCGGCCGGATCATCGCGATGCCTGAAGTGTCGTACGTGCGGGCTGTGGACGTGTGGCTGCTCGGCTGTCAGCTCTTCGTCTTCCTGGCGCTCATCGAGTTCGCCGCGGTTAACTACATCTCCAGGAGAATCCGCGTGAGGGATAAAGATATATAGAAAATCAATGAAGAATTACTTTTCCTCTGTCCCCTTCCGACACTGACTCCCCCCTGAATTATCAGGACACCTTTGGACAAAAACCTCTCACCTTTCGGAGAATCATCACAGAAATGTTCACTTTGTCGTTTTATTACCCTTATGTACACGAATCCCCTATGTCCTCTAAGTTTCTATCCCTGGCGTGATAAAAACTCACATTTTGACCCTTTGTCGAAGTAATTTTGGACAAAGATCCTGCAGTAAGACTTCTAACACCTACTCTATCATGCACGGCACATATTTGGCGCACGGGCCCTAAGTCTAACTCATAAATCTACATTATGCACCAATTCTGGCGTATCGTAAAGGCTTAGGGTAATATGTATCAGAGGGAGAGGGTAGGATTTGCCAAATGGCTAGTAAAGAATATTGCCGCTTTATCATTCTAATATAAAAAGCCGATGCAGTCTGATTTGTACTTTCAGACTATGCCTGAGTTATCCCCGTTGGCCTCCGTAAGCCATGCAAGGCGTCGTTATGTCAGTTTTATTTATGTGAATTCTCCAAACGTTGTGTCGGCACTTCTGGAGCCGTTTCTCATATCTATCTTTACCAGAATGATTGGCCCGTGTGGAGCTTGTTTGTGGGAATTGCTAAGCATTGGATGGGATGTGATCATAGAGAAGTTGCGCCAAAAGACAGTTACTCAAGCAACTGGGTATAACTTTGGAAACGGTCAGGCGTTTCAGGTAGCATCCACTCACTCACTCCACGTCAGACCGTTTGCAAAATCATATCCAGTTGTTTGAGTAACTGTCTTTTGCTGGCGTATCTTATTATCACCGGATATCTGACCTTCATCTCACCTTCATCTACTTATAGAGAAGTTGGTTATGTATGAGGGTGTCTTTATTAATGGTGTGGGAACAACATTATTCCCATACTGATACACGCATGGTACGCCATCGTACGTACTTGCGAGGTAGACGTCGCCACAAACTTTCTGCAACTTATGATCCACTACCAAGAGAGTTGTGCTCTTTTCTGCATAAGGCCACAGCAAGTAATCTTTATAGATGACATCAGCGCGCGCATCATAATGTTGGCCCGATTTTGGAAAAAAAAAGAGATTTTGTTGCCACCTGAAAGTCAACATGCCGAAAATGGGCAAAGATGTCTGTTGCCATGCCGGAACGTGGATGGCAGATAAATGTGAAGAGGGGAGACAAGGCTCTGATTTGATGCTTGGTCTTTTACTTTCTTGCATTCCATTCCTTTTATATGTCATATTCACTAAATCAAAACAATGGTTTAAAAAATTTTCATTGACAAATGAATGCTGTAATAGTTGGCATTGAACATACCACAATAAAGAAATGGTTTCTTGTTTATGGTCTATGATGTCAAACTTTGAAAATGTAGGAACCTTGTTTTTTGCCCCCCCCCCGTTTCTTTCGCCCTATTACATTATATTTGGAGTCTGCGGAGGATGTTATCCATAAAATGTACTTGCTGTTGCCTAACGTGACGTCACAAAAGCGGGAGATTGCTCATTCTTTGACAAAGACTGGAGTTGTACAATCCTGAATTTGAGTATGCCCGCAACTTTTTTTGTTGTATACCACAGTTAAAATCTGTTTCTCCCCTTCAAGTTTTAACTGATACTCATGAATATCCATTACAGATGGACGGAGACTCGGACAGCGGCGTCAATGGAAAAGTTCTCGGCAAGAAAGAAGCCGTCGGACTTCCTCTGCCGGATCCGCTGGTCAGAGCCAAGAAAAAGATGACCGGGATGGACATTGCCGACGCCGTGGACCACTTTAGCCGCATCGGGTTCCCTGTGGCCTTCGTCATTTTCAACGTTTTATACTGGGCCATGTACGTGGTCATCATGCGGGAGCCTAAAGCAACGCAGTAACTACCAACGAATGTCTCCATTCCGTGCTATTATACACACGTAAGGTCATGTTGATTTGATTATATGGGTGACATCCTCTGGGACCCCAAAACTGATGCGAGCGTGCGAATAAAAAAAAAGTTTAGAAAAAAAGTTGCTTTCATTGTGAAATCTACGTGGTTATGAAGGTTGAACGAATGACACAGAGTATGGTTTGGCAAATAACCTACCCTTCAAATTCTTTTCATTTTCGTCTTTTTTGTTTGATTTTGTCATTCTACGACACTGGTATTTTCCAATTTTTTTTTGCAACTTACGATATAGAATCGCTCATTTTCCAACTGTTTTGTACGATTTACAGTTTGGCTGAAAACTTTTTTTTGGAAACGGCCGAAAATTCATGCACGCGCGGATGTCATCCATACAATCAAATCAAATAGGCCTAGTTATACCTACTGGGGAAATTAGTGTACATCCTTCACATTGTATATCTACAGACTAAGCATGGCATGTATGTACAGAGTGAAATGCCAAAGGTACTGGTTATTGATTGCCTAATCTGTATCAGACTGTGACCCCGCCAACAGCTGGACCTGTGACATTTCCCCACATATGGTCGTTAGAGATATCACGTAGGTAGCAGGCGTCATGGCTGGACTCGTTTGCTTTTTACCGCGTGAAATTTGATCTTTCAGTATAACTGAAAGCATGCGTAAATGTTCAGTGTATTCACTCCAGTGGAAAAAAAAATTGAACCTTTACGCACGATTTAAGATATGCTTAAAGACCGCTGTTTTTGCAGAGTTTGCTTTATTTTAAACTACATTAAAAGTGGGATTAGTAAGACCAAGTAGTCGTTTTACGCGAAAGATTGTATCAGTACAAAGTACCTTTGTACATAAAACGCTATTGGTAAATATTACTTTTTGTGCAGTGAGCCCTGCATTATGAAAAATAAACGTCATGTGTTATTTAGCTATTACGGGGTGCGTTTAATAGTTATGGGAATGGTTGCTTAACTTTAGCGGTAAACATAGTGAAAGTTAGGTCTATTAACTGTTGTCAATGCCAAAGTTATAAAATGCCAATGGCACCTATTACCATGTATTTATCGTCATTGCACATGCAGTGGAAAGATAGCGTTAAAAAGTGAGTCCAGCCACGAAAACATTTATGCCATGTTGATTTGATTATGTGGATGACATCCTCTTGGAACCCCAAAACTGATGCGAGCGTGCGAATAAAAAAATGTTTAGCAAAAAGTTGCTTTCATTATGAAATCTACGTGGTCATGAAGGTTGAAGAAATGACACAGAGTATGGTTTGGCGAATAATCTACTCTTCAAATTCATTTCTTTAGATTTTCGTCTTCTTCGTTTGAATTTGGCATTCTACGACATTGATATCGTTTTCAATTTTTTTTTTTGCAACTAATGGTACATAGTTTCTCATTTTGCAACTGTTTTGTACGATTTACAGTGTGGTTGAAGACTTTTTTTGGAAACGGCCAAAAAATCATGCGCGCGTGGATGTCATCTATATAATCAAATCAACATGATCTTATGGATAAAACTGTTAGTCAGACCATGGGATGATCGGGTGAACATGACAATTGGATTTCTCGTCGGTGGATAAATACCTGCAGTATGAAATGACGCACGAGAAGGCGTTATTTATCGTCAGTAAGGACAGACTGACGAAGCGTTACAGACATAAATAGGTTGTGGCAGCGGCACGGCGACCCACAGTGGTGACAAATTAGTTATTTCTACACGACCGAACGTCGTGTCAGATGCTATAGGATGTCACTTCAGCGTAAGGCACTTCAACATATTACATTTCGTGGTCTGTGACAGCGAATAATTGATCCTACCTACACTGATAACGCACAGATCTTACAGTGTTACAACTACAAATGCTCCCCAAAAGCAGTTACTCAAGCAACTGGATATGATTTTGGAAACAGTCAGACGTTTCAGCTAGCATCCACTAGCTTTCATCAGTGATTGAAAGACCAGAGGAGAAATGTAGGTTTATTATTTAAAGCACAAACTACTAATTTATATGCAAATAAGTGAAGGCAAGGAATAATTTTTGGAAGTCCAAAAAGGAACAAAAGTTAGACAAGTCAAGACAAGATGATGCAAATTAGTCAAAATTAGCTCCTAGACGAAAGCTTGTGGATACTACCTGAAACGTTTCCAAAATCATATCCAGTTGCTTGAGTAACTGCTTTTTCGGTGTATCTTACCACCTGGATGTCTAACCTTCATCGACGTAACTACAATGCTTATTGTACAAATGTATTATATTCTATAGTATTACGTTGGAATGGTATACATAAAAAACACCTTCAGTAATCGTGCCAATGTGGTATATGCAAGAATGTGAAATTCTAGATAAATTCTAGATACCCATACAAAATCTGTTTTATCGTTCTTACAAATGAGCAAATTTTGGTAGATTCGAATGTAAATTTTACAGTTATATGGATTTTTGGGTACAGCCACAGTTACAGCTGTAAACTATTTTATAAGCAATGAAAGTAAAACGTATTGCATTTAACATCCACTATGTAGACTCTAAAAGGAGTCAAAATGATGCCGTTTGGTGAAAGAAGAGTGGACACTTTAGCGATAACTTTCACTGCAAGAGATTAACGTATCCAACTTGATCTTTAAGCATGCCTAAAGTATGCTTAAAGCTGACATTGTTCCAATGGAATAAAAAAACAGAATCGTTAGTATGCTTTAAGTTGTGCTCGAAAAATCAAATTTTATGCAGCAATATTTTCAGGACATACGATGATAACGAAAAGGCGGAAAGGAATTTAGTAAGTATATCCTTCTGTAGCCTTGAATAGTAAAGTTCTTTGATCACAACCATTTATTTTTTACGAGCCGTCAGTCATCTTCATCAGGGCAATTCTGACTGGTTTGGTGTGCACTGACGGTAGATGTTACTTGGTGCATAGTGCACTAAAGGTGTTACATGGTTCACAGTGCACTACTTGGTTCACAGTGCACTTTTTACTGTTAACAATGCATTTCCGAACGTGGTGCAATTGTGACATACATAGGCATTGTTACATCATAGGGACATATGCCGTTCCAAATGTAAAGTGTCTCTTTTAATAATATAAAAATTGTTAAATAACAATACTGAGCTATCGCAGTCCCGAATAGAAACTGGGATAGCCTAGTTTGTGGTGTTTTATTTCCTGGATCCTGATGTATTGCTCGCCGTTATAGATAGCGCGCCCTACTTTCCAGCGAACACGTTCTTTGGCACCTTGATGTAGCGGATCTAATCCAACTCTTCTCGCGTTTGGTCACGGAGTGACTTAACCGTGCCTTTTCTTAATGCCCATCGCTGGAAGTATGGAGTATCATCAATATTGCACACTGTGATGACACAGCGTGGAGAGCTTGTACGGTCAGTCATTCCGCTTCTGGGTCAGAAAAGATGGGGTTTTCGAATCTAGGTCGGATTTTTGCCAATGTGCATCTATCAGCTCCTATTTAATAAATTATGTTGTGTCGCTTAATGTTTTAATTATTGTTTCAATTGTTGTCTGAATTGTTGTTTCAATTATTGTTTTTTGTCTAAATGTGACAAGTGATTTGTTACTTCTTTGATTTTTGAGTCATTTTATTATCATACATTACTCTATTATTTTGCACCACTTTAATTTATTTCATTGTTACTATTTGTTACAATTATTGTTATAAGCATTTTTGTTACAATTAGTATCATTGATGATATGCTTATTTTGAAACGAACTGTCTCTTAATTGTGGTCAGGGAGTTGAAAAGGAATTCTTATGCCTATGACCGTTTTTACATGCAATATATATGTAAATAAAGTTGAAAAAAATAAATAAATAATAATAATAACCAAACCAGCACTGCAAAAATATCTTTAAACATACCCTAAAATATGCGTGAATTTTTTTATACTCCATAGGGAGTTGTGCTTAAAGATCAAATTTCATGCAGTACAGATCCTGCAGTTGACCAGATCGAAAGAAGTCTAGGTCATACGTTTGCTACATATGCTACAGTTAAGACGGAAACAAAATGTATACGGTACAAATCCTTTTTTCTAATCAAATTTCTCATAAATTTTTCAATACCTACTGCGAGGATCTGGAAATAGGTCATCAGTGGTTGTTGTGTGGTTGGCAGTCAAATATGATTTAAATTTAACTTAAACTTAATTTGATTTGTAATGAAAGGTACTATCATTCTAGGCTTAAATCCGTTGAAGCCACTTTCTATCCATGGTAATCAGGGGGAGCTCGAGGTTGTGAGTGTGCGACAGGCATTCCGGTCGGCAGCGCTGACCGAACATGATTGTCACCGGAGGGAATCTGCCTGTCCGACCTTGAGGTCAACGGCAGCAGCGTCTGAGTTGCCTAATGGTGCCGCGTTTTACCTTAGGCCATGTTGATTTGATTATATGGATGACATCCGCGCGCACGGATTTTTGGCCGTTTCCCCAAAAAAATTTTTTTTCCCCAAAAAAATTCAACAATACTGTAAATCGTACAAAACTGTTGCAAAATGAGCAAATATAAACCGTAGAAAAAAATTGTAAAACGATACCAATGTCGCAGAATGCCAAAATCAGACGTAAAAGACGAAAATGTAAAGAAATGAATTTGAAGACTAGATTATTCGCCAAACCATACTCTGTGTCATTTGGTCATTTGTTTAAAGAGGAAGGTTGGACTATAAAACCACCCAATAAATTCGGGTACTGTAAACTCTCACAGCTCATTCTGCAACTGGCAGCCGTGGTGAACACATGGGGAGAGCTAGGCTGAGATAGTATACCAAGTACACCTCTTCAACATTATGTGGAGACATGGATATGTACATGAAAAGTACATATAATATTTTACTAAACAACAAGAATATAGACTAATAACTACACAGGCATGTACTATGCCAATCCTGGTAAACTGGGACTTCATCTATTCAGCATTTCAGACTTGGATTCTAATATATAATGCAAGA